CATTATATGGTTTTCATTAGATTTTAAATAAGGCTCCTCCTCGGGCCCCACATCTACTTTTCCCCTCTAAAATATTCATGTTCGTTTGGGCGACTTTTCTCAGCAAGTCAAAACCATTTCTTACCAAAGCCTCATAATTCTGTAAATTTTAATATGTTTATTATGAATATGTCCCTGTATATGTTTCATTCTTTAATGTCCTTATTTTGGGGCCAAACTTATGTAAGGCAATACTAGTCCACTATTTTCCCATTGGCACTGACTGTGAGCTTGCCACTATAATATTTGGGCTCCACTCAGACCTCAAATTTTCCTTCATCCCCCTGAGATCTCGTGGAGACAGGGTAGCTCTGTGTCCAGCTGTCCTTTCCACATCGTCTTGTCCTGGCTTTGATGTTCCTCTGCCAAAATTCTAAACTTGCGGGTTCGCTATGCCGTTCCCTAGAAGCCTCTGAATTCGTCCAACATGCGCACACAGCAGGGTTTCCGAGAGTTTTTGGGGAGGTGGATTCAAGAAGGGGGGGTGGGGGGGGGGGGGGGGATTGGGTCAGACCACCACAAAGCTAGGGAGACCCCTGTCTTCCTCCTTTCCATTTCCCACCGCTCCAAACACGGTACACGCATATGTTGAAAAGTTCAGGTCTTGATAGACAACAGAGCACCGGCAATTACGTGCTATTTCTTAGTGGCTGGAAGTCCCCTGTTCTGCGTGAGTGTGTGTGTGTGTGTGTGCAGAAAGAGAAAGTTTTCTTTTCCTTTTTTCATTCATAGAGAATAAAGAGGCAGTGTTTTAAGGGGGAAAATGAGCTGGGACAGGGGGAACGGGGAGCTGCAAGTAGGGACTTGTGCCTGGATTGCTTCATGTCTGTCTGTCTGTCCATTTGAGGAAATTGGTGAATGTGCATCAGGGAATGATGATGTGTAAACGTGTTACAGTTCCCAAAGTTGGTCTGTAGATGAGTGTATGAGAAAATTCACGTTCTGCTCTGTTCATACCCAAATCTCTCTTTTGGTCAAGAATTAATTTCTGAACGCGAGAATGTACCCCAAGTCTGGGATCTACCTGAGCTGGGAGATGACTCCTGGAGTAAAATCCCACTCAGATTTCTCTTTCCCACTGACGGCCTATTTCTAGCTCTCTAAGGATAGTTTTCACGGGGTAGTGCAGAGTGATAAAGTCAAGGCATGGTTGTGACAAGAGCAGCCCGCACTTTGACATATCTGGAGATCACACAGAGAGGATGCTGCGGTCCCTTAACAACTCAAGTGTGCTGCTGTAATGTCTAATGGGTTGCAGCTGGAAGATCGCCTTGCATACCTTGAAGTACCGACTTTGTGCGTTGATGTGAGCGTGTGACGTTGCTTACGATCTCAGAAGTGAATTTGACTACGGTATTGTGACTTCAGTTGCGCGTTGTGGCCCCTGAATGCCTGCACACATGCAGCGCCTTAGAGGAACAGGGCTCCAGAGCGGTGCGAGGCCCCACTTCATTCAAGTTGCATTGCATGTTAGACAGATTAAGTCTTGTAAATGGCTGCCAGTAATCGTCCCTATAAAAGAGCAGCTGCATGCTTGACATGTTGTAAGTATGGCTGATGTACGTTTCTTTTCCTTGTGCTGCGTAAAGTTAATTTGAATGCGCAGCAAGAGTGTGTCTTTGAGTCTTCTTTACATAAGTGTGTGCGTGTGCGCTGTGCCAGGGCTTGTTTATGCGCGTCGAGGTTGCCCTGGATATGCACCGTGCTCTGGATAATTTCCAAGTCCAATCTATATTGCCTTCAGCCTCTGTAATGTACCTTTGCTCCTGGGGAAATCTCACCTGAATTACCTGCTCGTGTAAGAGTGTATTTGTGCATGAGTAATCCAACCATAGAGGAAACCACAGTTTATAATTTGCCCGTTATAAGAGCTCATGAGAAATAGTTACACACCAAAAACATCAACTTTGTCATCGAGGACACTGATGAACTAGTAAGGCCTTAAGTTAGCGGAGACTAATTCTGCCCTGAGGAGGAGGGAGGAGATCACTCCATAGTCTACAAAGGGCCTGCTCCGTGAGGACATGACTCATGCATGCTTATGATACGGCTGGGCGGCGCTGGGAGGGGGGGACACCAGGTTAAGATGAGTGTTTGTTTCTCTGTTGCAAGGCAATCTTCTCTGTAGTTGACTCGGTCTTTGACATTACGAGGTGTCATAGAACGGGGATGCCCAGTGGAAAATGTGTGACCGCTTTCTTCGGAAAAGAAATATGACAGTTGTAGTCATAATAAATGTCACAAATATGCAGCTATCAGTATTCTGAGTTTCTATTGTCTGCTCTGCTATCTTTTTATGGCTCTTCACCACATTGAGGTGTGAGATTCTTTTCTTTCTTTTCTTGGTCAGAGTTCATCTGCACTGAAATGTTGTTAAGATTGGGTTATGGATGACAGTGTTTGTCTCCCAACAGTTAGAATGGTGAGAAACAGAACAAATGTGTTTTTTTTAATCCAAAATATGCTTGTATCACAGATTTTAGAAGAGAAACCTGCAACAGAGCTCACAAATAATAACCAGAGGTCTGCATCTGTCCTAACCAGGGGCAGTCATGGAAATATTATGAGCCAGTAATATATCTTTCTCTGATGTACGCATTAAGATACATTCATTCAGTGTCAATTTGTTGATTAAACCAGATGAGAAATCAGATACAAAGTATTACTGATGATATTAATGATACAAATGGCCAATCAAATGTCCATATTGAACAGATATCCATAGCACAGCCTCTGTATTTTCTGACCCTTACTGGATGGTCTGGGAACTTGATTAGTATTCCTCATCTGATACCCAGTTTCAAGGGTTTATTTTGATGATACAGCAAACCTGACACAACTCAAGCCCCCTTTTTAAAAACAAAAAAAAGAAAAAAAAGAATAACAAGGCCAATACTACACACACAATCACCACAAACTAACATGGACCTTTATGGATCACTCAAGTAGAAAGTTCAGACAGACCAAAAAGCTGTAGTTAGTTCTCTGGAGGCCGTTCAACTTAAATGCAACACATTCTTAAAAAATGTCTCCACTTTTTCCTAAACTCCTCTCACTGGGAACTATGTGTGGCCGGGGGGCAAAACGGGAGTCATCCCCCCTCTCACAGCGTCCTCTTCGCTGAATCTTTATGGCTAGATTTACTGTGCACCAGCAACTATAAAATCATTTAATGGGGTTAATGTTGTTAGGTACACAAGCCTCAGTTGCCAGTAAACATGTTGCCTAATAGCGCATACAGAAAATAGGTAAGACGAGAAGAAGAGATGATGACTTCTGGTCTCGCCCTTATGATTTTATTTGTGCTCCCCCAAATAATGCAAGTTCAGTGATTGTTACGTCTGCTATCTAAACAGTTCAGGCCATCCCAGACTACTTTTCATTTAATGACGCGGCACTACCATTCATCTTCTTGTCCCTTGACAATTGTCTCTTATTCAAGAGCTGTGCATACCGAGCTGCATATGAACAGCAGACAGACTGGGAACCTTTGTCCTCACCTTTTCCTCTGACTCCCTCTTTCCCAACACGATGTGAAGTGTCTACCTAAAGGAAACTTTAGTCAAAGAACTGAGTAAGAGAGCCTCTCCAGAGAGGCTCTCTTACTCAGTTCAACCATGACAATAATTAGTCACCTTTCACAAATGGGTCCGAATCAAACCTGGTCACTAACCAGTCTTTTTGACATAGTACCCAATGCTTTAATGGTTCTATGCTTTCTTGTAGCCTTTAAGAATAGGATGTATGATTAGCAAGGGACCACACTCTTTAGAAGAGACACATAAATGGCAGGGACATCTAAAAAAATCACTGACTAGCTGAGAAAAATGTGTTGTAAAAATATTTCATTCATTTTATAGTGCTGGTACCATCCTACAATGAGCTCCACATGCCTATTAAAATAGTTACATTAATTGCTCTACCATCTGTTGCAGGGTTTTCTCTGAGCAGTGTTTTCAGCCACAATGCCCACAGGCTTGCATTGTGCTATGCAACCCAGCTGAACGGACGAGGTGTAGGGAGGACCACCTGGTTGGCTGACCTGTGGCTCCCTGCTGATTGTCACCTCTGGCTGTTAATGTGCGAGCATGCTGTCTGTCGGTGTCTCTCCTCCTGTAGGTATGTCTCCTTTAACAGGCCCTTAGGCTTTTCTCCCAGACCTCCCAGCACAACACACGGCGACCGCTGCCCTCCTCCTCGGGACGAGTTAGGACCGGCGGGTTGTGGTCCCGCAGTTAAGTAGTAGTTTCCTATATCCAAATAGCATCCCAACACATACTTTAAATGCGTAATGATAACAACAATGATAATGTTAATAGTAATAATTAAAAAAGTAATCAATTTGCTCGTAATTAATTAAATTAAATTTTCTATGTGTCCCCTTCAAATATAACGCAGAAACCGTCTGATTTTCCTGACTCTGACTTGAACTAAAGTGCACAAAGGGAGCTTGTACCACTGCCCCACATCATGAGACATCCTGGGCTCATGTTCATCATCACTACAATCAGCATGGTTTCTCTGTTTTTAACAAATATAATTATATTCAGTAAATGGTACATTTCCTGAATGCTTTACTATAAACTACATTCATAATTCCCCCTTTTTAAAAGCAGTTCCCTGGGAACAGGACAGTAGCCTATGTCATCATCACCTTTTCTTGGGTCATCATATTTCTGTCAAATCTTGGTTTCCTGTTATTAGTCCATTTTGCATCATTCATTACATTAACAATCAAATTTCCTTTAACAGTCCTAATCTTTGAATGGGCTGCTTACTCACACACACACATACTATCTCTCTCTCTCTCTCTCTTACACACACGCACACACACACACACACACACATACACACACAAGAGCTGTGATGGGGGCTGGAGGTGGGGGTTGAGGTGGGGACGTGCTCTTGAGTCTTAAGTCATCCAACCAGCCAACCAGCTCCACTTACTGAATAGATGCACGATCACCAAAACGCGAGGGGAGGCGCAACTGGCACAGAGCTGCTGGCTCTCTATATCGAGCAGCTCAGAGGCGCTCTGACACCATTCACTCCGGAGTCCTCCACTGGCAAGGACCTGCACAGACTACAGCAAGACAGGCTCTGGATAGTACAGCACGGACAGCTTTCTCTCTTGTGATTTCCTGAAGGCATCTGCTAGATTGGATTATTTTAATTTAAGAGTCCCTATACGTACTATTACAACACTGCGCGTCTTATTCTTAATATTGTCTTGAAGAAAAAAGGAGCAGCTGTTTCGTATTTGACATCCCATTGTGTGGGACTAAAGTTTGAGAAATTTCTAAAGGTGAAGGACAAGTGCAATGTGCGCCAGGCTTGTTTCTTGGAATTCTCTCACTTGTGCTTGAGGAACTATGCCGAAGGGCAGCACAGTGCGTTTTCAAGAGGAAGCAATCCAATGTGAATTACGAGAATAAACTCCAAGTCGTCTCAACCCTTTTTTATTTTTTGAGGCAAGTGCAGCACCGGGCTTGACTGAACCCGCTGAGCTGCTCTGGCATTCCCGTTTCCCTTCCCGTGGGGATGGTTGTAGATCCTCGGGGGCCAGGAGCGACTCTTGGGCTCCTACACAGCACCAGCTTTTTCGCGTTTGGGCTTTATCTTAAATTAAAGGGAGATGAGAACCGCACTGTACTACTTCCTGCTGTGGACGACGTACCTGCTGGCCACCGCTGAGGTAAAGTTTTCAGAAGCCTAACGCGCAACTAGAGCGGTAGACGGATGGTTTCTTTGGCCTGTGTCGTGTGGGGTTTTACTCTTGTGAGGGTGCAAAGGTCCCTCGGAGCGCACATTTGTCCAAGAGCCACATACCTAACCCCCGCAACTTGATGCACTGGCAAAACCAGAAATAGACTTCTATACAGCACCTATGATTAAGGATGACAGTGTTAACTGCACATTTCAATTACTTAATCTATTGAAATTATTTTTTAGAAATAGCAATAGTTCATCAGGGTCTCAGACTTGAAGAGCTTTCATGAGCCTTTCATGAGCAACCATTCCTTTTGCAACGCTGTTGGGCACATGTCGCAGCTCTTTTGAGCTTTTGTGCCAAATCTGTTTGCAGAGTCAACCGAGCGAACGTTTTGGTTGGCCTGAGCGCGTTCATGGGAACCGCTGTGCGTGATAAAAATAGCCCTGTTCCCGTGAAGGAGCAGGGCTTGCTCACGTTGAGGTGCTCGCTGGAGGACCGCAACAAGTGCAAAGTGTGGCGGGGTGCCACTGGCCGTGCGCAACGGGACGTCCAGACGTCTGGACCCCGATTGAGTGTTGCTCACCATGCCAACGATTAGATTCAATTTGTGTTTTTTAGGCCCAGCTAGTCCGGGATATTATAGGACCTGTTCGGTGTATCTAAATGTTTATAGTCTTGATTAGCCATTCAAAGTGAGGTTTTGAAGTTTTTTGCTTCAAAGACGTGGCAAACTGTCCTTAGGTAGGCATTTCACACGGATGTCCTGTTATCCAATTATTATTATTAGACTCCCCTAAATGAGCATGCATTCATTATCAATGTAGTAAAAAAAGAAAAAGAAAATACTGTTCACTTGTGATCAATGACACACACGCTTCTCGCCAGTCCGACACATCGCTAACCTTCCTCTCATGTTTGATTTTCTTTGCCCCCCCTGCCCCCTGAAGGAAGCGGAGTTTCCCCAGGAGCTGATAGACCGTCTCTCCCACAGTGAAATCCACAGCATCAGCGACCTCCAGCGGCTACTGGAGATTGACTCCGTAGGTAAATTCAGCCTCTTGTTACTCTCATCACAAGGCACGGGGCGTGCGTAGGAATCCGGAGTCCTGAGCGTAGATCTGATGAACCACAGCACGGACCGACTTAGGTCACCTGAAATGTTGGATTGCGTGCGGATCCCTCATCAAATTTTTTTTTTTTGCTATTGTGAAATACTTAGCGGTATGATCAAAGTGAGTCACTGTGCACAAGGCTATCTAAACTCTTACCTAATAGGCCTACTCCTTCTCTAGCAGGCTTTTCTCACTTGTTCAGCTCTGGATGATAAAGCAGTGTTCAGGTGCATTAACAGACCACATGTGACAAGGTGGACTTTCACTGACCAATTCTCGCAGCTGCAGAGGTTACTGCAATGAACCGGCTTTATTGCAAGCAGGCTGCCATATTTGTTGCCTTGTAAATAGTGTAGAAGAGACGGTGGCTTGCAGATCATGAAAGTTTTTTGAGCATCAGGTGGTGCTTTCTGCGTGCTTATGTCTAAGACCTATACTGAGGGACATGGGATCCACTGAAAGAAGCCGTTTAGCATAACACAAACGTCTATTTGCACAGGTTGCCTGTGTATATGAAAATCAGATCTCTCCTGTAAAAATCTACAGATGGTTATAGGCCATTTTAACATTGGCATCAAAACCTCCATGTGATGCAATTCACCTAACTGTTCATAGCTTATTAGACATGCTGAGAACTGGTGTTTCACCTGATTAGTCCTCAGTGTCAGCCCACGACCATCTTTCTGAAGGATGAACACTTAAAGCATGCAACATCCTTGGTGTTTATCATTCATTAATTCACAGTCAAAGCAGCCTGTACTCCCCAAGACGGATCCCTTCACTTCACACTGAGCCCAGAATAGATCCCTGGAGAGCCTCTAGCATGAGAAGAGGTGTTTATGATTGAATTAACATGTCTTTCTTCAAACGGAGTAATGTTTTGCAGGGTAACAGTAGTAGGTTGATTATTGTTACGAGGACGTAAATCTGTCTGAGGGTCAGCTTCCCCGGCCCATTAAAAAACCTTTGACGCCAGCCAGTGGAGTATTTTCAGAGCTTTTTGTTGCAGATGGTTGAGGCGGGGAGTCTACAAATATAGGACCAATTGTTCATGACATATCACCCAGGAAAGGATACAGATTGGTTCAGTTCTGTGCTTTAGTTGAGAACCACTCGGATGGCCCTGCGGACACACCGTTACCGTGTTCCATTTCAGTCACTGCTGCGCCCAGAGACCTGCGTTTTTTTTGTTTTTTTTTGTTGAGGACAGCGTCTTCAGCTCTGAGTGACAGATGAGATGACACCATTGAAGTCTGCAGATGGCTGTCTGGCCCCCGAGGTGCTTCTCTCCTCGTTATTCCTCCTCTCTATCCCCGTCTCCCTCCCGAGGTGGCCCCCTGCCTGCTCGCTCTTATCTCTTTCAGTGAAGGACTTTGACAGAATAGGGAACCTGATTCTTGGCAGGGGGCAGAGGTGGAGGAGGGAGTAACAGGAATCTTGAAGTTGTATTCCTCCCTCATTCAGAGAGGCCACAAGTTGTGCAATCTGCTTTGTCTCTGAAAAGCCGACACTGTTTTCATCTCCGGCACAGTTGCCAGCGCTGCCTCTGAACCTACAGTGTTTCAACAGCAAAAGTTATCAAGCTTCACACCAACAGTGAGGGCTTGTTTGGCACATGACCCGAGCTGATACTTTGTCAACTCCGCCATGTAAGTGTTAAAAATAACAAAACAAGGAAGAGTGGTAGAAAAAGAATGATGGAGTACTCAGAGAAGTCAACAATGTGTTGGCTATTTGTTCAAGGAAAGGGGGGAAGAGAGGAGGAGGAGTAAAGGGAGGGAGTTGAGGCCCTTAGCTAATGGAGGGAGTAATTTACGAATCATGAAAGCCTGATTTATGGCAAGAGTGTCTCCTGTCCTCTTTTCTCTTGTCTCACTGCTGTGGGCATGTTATTACTTCTTAGTCATCTGGAACCAGGAAAAGATCAGACCCCTCAATTCCGCCTGCTTCCACTGTTTCCAAAATTTTCCTCTACTGTCAACCTTTGCAGTTGTCTGTAATCATTCTTCATACTTGACCAAATTCCCACCTGCGGAATCTAAGCTTACTTTTTTATATATTCGATTTGCTTTTTGTAATATATGTGAAAGTCAGAGGGATTCTACTGTAATTACACAAAAAAGAGACATCTATCGTAATGAAGAGCAGACGAAGTAGGAGTTTTTTTTTGTGTATACAGTTTGTCATATCACTATACAGTATTTCAGACACACTGACAACTCAGCCGTTTTATTGACTCTCAGTTTCAGCTGCAGGGAACAAATCCCCTCTGTGAACCTTTAGTGCTGGGTCACTGGCTGCTTGACTGACTGCGGAACATGTTAAAGGATATGTCCTCAAACATTTTGCCTCAAACCTGTCAGACCTGGAAAAAAGGATGAGAAAAAAAGGCAAAAAGCAAGAAAAGCAAGAAAAGAATCCCAGTGGTGGAGTGTGTATAGGTGGAGGGAATCCCTTCAGGTGGCTCTGTTAAAAGCACAATCAGGCTAGATGAGAGGAATGCGTGACACATAGTTCAGCTTTGTTTTGCTCTTGTACTTTAGGTTTTAGCCTTTTAAAAAGGATAATGAGAGGAGGTTGTCTAATTGTGAGTGTGTGTTTATGTTCAGTGTACAAGCACACGATTGTGTTAGCCAGTCGGGGTGGGTATGCAGCACTTACAGACAGGTAGACCCACCCACTTTGCAAACACCCTCAGACACTTTCAGGGCAGTATCCTGCGGACAAGCCTTATCATTTTATTGCTGCTCTGGCAGTTTTCTGAAATCCACCTTCTATTCTGGGTGGGGACCAAAACAAGCACACTTTATCAGATGACCATGACTATGTAAAAGCTGAACTGGCTGTATTGGTCTGTAGCTAGAGGGCTTTAAGGGGCAAGCATTGCAGAATAGTTAAACATGTACTTTCCCAAGCCACTGAATGACTGAAAAGCAAACATTTTCAGTAAATGAGAGACACAAAACCGCTAATTAGGCGTAGGAATGAACACCACCTGTCAAATGACCACTTTTGTCCCCTATGTGTCTATGAAAGCTGGTTGTTTTTGAAAGTCCGTGCTGACTCACCTGTGTCTAGCTCCTTTTTTCCTGTTTAAAGTTCAGCCAAATCGGTCACTGAGGTGGATGCACAAAACTTACAATTACAACGTGGTCCTTGTAAAGCGGTGCCTCCTTCTGGCACTTTCCGTACTTTGGACTGTTTACTTCAGTTTGTGGCATCATCAATAGTGGCTTAGCTCGCACGTAGAAGGGAACTCCGAGCCCTGCAGAAAAATGACAGGAGAAAAGACCGGCCACAAGAAAGCAGCCAGAATTAAAGAATTGAGCTTTTCCTTAGAGTCAGACTTCTGGCAAACTGGCATTGAGGTGGCAGTTCATATGTAGACTGCCAATTAATGAATCAGTTCTTTGTATAAGTGACATTATTAATCGGATGGCCTTCTCTTTCGACGAGGTACGGGAAATGATGTTATTGAGGAGCGCAAGCGCCACAAGCACTACAACCACCACAAGAACTTCTCTCATCACCATGGTCACTACAGTGACCTAAAGAGCTCCCAGCTGCACAGCCGGCGCAAGAGAAGCATCGGTAAGTTGTCTTATGCTCCTAATTGACATTAGATGCGTCACAGTTTGACGTGCGCACTGTCAGAATATCTTGATAATAATTTGTATCTTAAATATCGCTTCAAACATATACGATATCCAAGGGGAGGAAACGGATCACTTTACACTAATGTCAAACAAAGCTAACATTTAGTGGTTTTTATACTGCTTTTAGAGGTTAAAAGGGAGCCCTAATAAGGGCATCTACCCAGTAGTTATGGCAATCACGGAATCATGAGACAAGAGGCTGGGGTGTGAGGTTGATGAGGACGTCTGACACGAAGCCTTTTTTATGGCCCGAGGCTTGTAGATCTAAGGCGCACGCGTCAGGAGGGAGCTATATCCTTGAGCGTGGAAATTCCAGGCATTCAGGTTTCAAGTTGCAGCTCGTCTGCGTTCTCAGTCAGATTTCTTCATAAAAGGCCACGCGGTACGATATCTGATCGAGGTGTAGAGAATAACATGTAATGTGTGATGTGTGTGCTACGGCTGCTCTCCACATCTCTCCCAGCAGCAGGGCTGTGCAGGACCAGGTGGCTGGTCGTATTTCATGTATGTGTGCCGAAGCATAAGATTATGATATAGTATTCAGTTTTGGCTGCTCTCCGCAGAAGCTTTGATATCCTGTGCACGATGGACATAACATCTTTACGACATAATGGTATCTTACTGTACACTGAACGGAGAAAGGCTCAAAGGCCGTTAGTAGATCTCCCATCAGTGAGAAGAAAAGGTATTCTGGCCTAGTTACACTGTGTTAATGCCAGTGAGAACTCTGGAAAAAGCAACTTTGGAGTGTGCCCTTTTTAGAACTTCATATACTCCAAAACTTCTTGGCCGGTGTGAGATCAGCTTTTTGGGGAGCTTGTACTCTTAGCAGTCCGAAAAGATGTTAGGTGTGATCCGGGGTAAGATTAACACATCTCGCATCTAGTGAGTCATCAAATGATGAGGGGTAGAAGTATGCAGGCAGCTGTGAGTGAGGGAAACAGACTGCAGCCGCACATCCGCGCATGTTGTCTGCCGTAGGAAAATGTGTCACCAAGACGCCTTACTCATCTTGTCTTACTTCCAGTTGAAGAGGCAGTCCCGGCGGTGTGCAAGACACGAACCGTGATCTACGAGATCCCCAGGAGTCAGGTGGATCCCACGTCTGCCAACTTCTTGATATGGCCCCCCTGTGTGGAGGTGAAGCGCTGCACAGGCTGCTGCAACACCAGCAACATGCGCTGTCACCCGTCCCGCAAGCATCACCGCACCGTAAAGGTAAGACACATGCCAGCAGGGTAGGTTGTGCTCTAGAGAACCAACGTGTTGGAGACAATCATAATGAATCATAACTGAAAGCGTGCATTTTATTACCATCATACGGAGAACAAGCTCATTCTATTGCCCATGCAAATAAACACTGTCCTTTTACCGGATGGGAAAAACACAAGGCCATTTAGCCCTTACTCCCTCCTTTATTTTAAAGCTCCAACACTCCATCAGCCCTTTTTCTATGAGCTTCTTTGGCCAGTTCCCAAATATTAGCCAGCTAACCTCCGATGCCTTCAATCCTCCTCATCTCCTGACATTTCACCACCCTCCTTCCCCATTACTTTATCACAAAAGTGGCAAGCGTCCCAAGCCACTGTGCCAGGACAGCGGACTTTAAGAAGAGAAGAAGAGGGGCAAATAGGACAGGGGGAGACGCTTGTTGGCACTTAAAGCCCGGACATCTGTTGAAGGATAGTCCCCAAGAGGGATGATCCTGCCAAATGTTAGACAGAGAGGGACAGAAAGGGAAAAATAATCTCATGTGTCTTGAAAATGTCTGAGTGTCACTGGCTGCTGCGTGGCTTCCTCTCTGCTTCCCGTTTGTTTGGCCTTTTGTCTTTTCTGGAAGCGGTCTGCTTTGAGGAGACAAGGCAACAAAGAGAATGGGAGACAAACTGAAGAGGCTTCCACTGTTCTCAGAAGCTCTTTGGCATCGTTGGCTTGAAAACATGTCCCTCTGTTCAGGATCATCAGACATGGTGGCTGGAGCTGAAATGTATTTCTGATGTATTTACACTACGGCCTGTTAGTTGGTGTGTGGCTCTGTTCGGCGGTATGGGAGTTATGTGGTATGCCCAGTAAAAGTAATAGACAACCAGGGGATAAACAGGAAAGTCAGGAACACTTTGTCGCTGTTTCTTTGCCAGTCTGTAACTGCACTTAATTTTTTCTGTAGTCATTGTGATCTTTCCCAGCAATGAACACTGGGAAAGTTTTTTTTTCTTCCTGGTAGTTCTACGCTGGAACCTTAAAGATGCCTCAACAGACCGGAGAAGTAATAACAGGAATGAATATCAATCCTTAGCCCATAGGTTACAGTTATGGAAAATGTCACTAAGCCAGACATTGTCTCTCACCTCCTCCAGTGATAGCATAAAGAAGCAAGGGTTCACCATAAGAGTGCCTCTGTAGGGCACAGGGCATTGCCAACAGGGCACAGGGTTTATGGTCAGAAATGCTGACTCACAGTGCGGTGAGAGAGTCCAGCTCTGATATACAGTGAAGCCCTCTGTGTCCATCTGTCGGCATGCAAGCTCATCCTTCGCTCCATCTGCCAGACACTCGGTGTCTGTTATCCTCAATGGGAGCTCTGTGTGTGATCACAGTGATGGAGAGGGATGGAGAGACGCTGAAGACAGCGAGTGAGACACCATAAAGCTTGATTCAGCTATTCCTGGAATGCCGTAGTCTATGCAACGTTATTTGTGTCCCCCTCATGACATTGAGGACAAATTGGGCACACAAACTTGAGAGGGACCCTCAGGCATGATAGAGAGGTTTTATGGTAACCCCCCGTCCCCTCCATTCAGTTTCAGTTCAGGCACTGGTTAAGTGGTATGAAAGGTGTTGTTTCCCTGGAAAGATCATACATCATCCCTCTGGTCAGGACACATTCACCACACTGTGTGTACGAAACATTGTCTCATGCCATTTTTTTATGTCTATACCCTCCCTCTGAACAGGAGATTAGTTCGTGTCTCCCCCTTAATTTATTAGACAACGAAAAGCAAATGAAAATTGCTTGACGAAGGAAATGGGGAGATACTTTAGAAATGTTCTCCCTTTTCTATTGCTTGTCATTTAATTCATACTAAAAGACTGACAATAATAGTCATTCTTTGCCCATTGTGTGCATTACAGTTTTTCTGCAGACTGGACAAGTGCACACCAACGTGTGCTGTTGTGTGATTCTAAATACCCCTGCTTCCTATGGGGCAGGGCAAATGTAGATGTTTGACCAGTTAAAGAAAAATTGAATTGTTTTAACAATTCACTTTTTTCATTTTTTTTTGCATATATATAACTAATTAAACAGTTGCTTCATGAAAATCCTCTTTATATAAAAAAGCGCTGGGCATTGCGTGCATAAAAATAGAAGCAGAACATGAGAACTAACTTTTTTCACTGTCCTCATGATGTGCCTTAATCTAATAAGTTTGTTATATTACTGTTACAATTCCGTTCAGTTTATCTTATTTAGTTGCATTTGGTAGTGGAGAGCCTTTAATTGGCCTTGAAGCAAATATTTTCCGGAGGTCAGTGAGGGTCATCGTTGCACATCTGTGTAAACCCAAGATGGACGTGTGTGGGTGAGGCTGTGAGGGAGACTGAGCTCTTCATACTATGCTACGTAAACTCCCCGACCGCAGGGCCGGGACGAGGCCGTTTGTGTGAAGCTACGGCGAGGGGGAAGACGGGCCGCAGAGTAATGAAGTGTTGATGGCTTCTGGATCAAAGTGGAGGCTGACAGAGGCCAGGCGGAAATAGCCACAGCGCTGAGTGTGGGGGTCTACACATCTCTCAGCGCCGCCCTGGGCCCCGACCCCGGCCCCCGACACACAAACACACACACGCAGACCATTACCTCAGTGACAGCGGTCACATCCGGGTGCTGGGGGAAGCAGTAGCTGTTCCCCTGCGGTTGTGGGGGACCCTGACTTACAGAGTGTTTCATAAATAAAAGGCGGTGCGATGGTGATACAGTGGGAATGATTTATGATCATCTGAAGGACAGGGTGGGGGGGGGGTTCAGATGGGAATGAGGGGCCTCATTGTTTGAAGTCCCTTGCAGCTGTGAATTATTTTCCCTTTGATTCGCTCAACTCTCCAACGACATGAAGAAAGGTGAAGGAGTTTGTGAGGGTAGCTGTTAGTGCAAGGCGGGGCAGGTTGCAGACCACGGGAGTGTCTTGACTGGCCTGGAAGTTTGAGAGTTTGGCTGCTGCTGCTGCACCGGCTGGAATGCCTCATCTCCAGCAGGAAAAGTAGAAGAATGTTTTAATAATATTTGACTTTATTTCTGTATTTCTTCCCTCTCTCCTCCCCTCGTATCCTTCCTTCCTCCTACACTGACAACCCCCCACCCCCCGCATGCATCCCTTTCGTAAGTCATGGAGTCTGATTGTCTGTATGGTGAACTACTTGTTCAATCCCTCATCATACTAAAACACCCGCTCTCTAATTTCAGCCCTCCATCAAGTGTCTGTCATTTACTGTGTCTTCACTGCTCTCTCTCATTAAAATAGTTTTCGCTTTTTGTCTTTAGAGGGCTTAGATTGGGGTTTTCTTTGAAATCTGGTATTCTGTTAATGCACATGAAGTCTGATTAAAAAGGAATAGATTTCGAGCATTTTAGAGACCTTGCTTACGAATAGGCAGAATGAGGAGAATGTTGCATATTTTGGGGAATGGACTCATATTTGGAGACATGTAACAAAATACGAGGACAGCAGAACGTTAACTTGGTAACCTTTGTCCGTCCATATCCAGTTTCCTGTGGGTCACCTCAAAGTGTTCGACACTTGAACAAAGAAAATGTATGAAGATGCACATAGCCTCAGATTTCTAGACTTTTTTTTCTGGGAAACTCAGGAGGTCGCCTGACAGATGAATTATGACCCTACCATGCCTCTATTGACCCCTCCATTGTGCAAACACAAACATACACTTTTATTTATTTGTACTTCATTCTGTCACTGTTCCAGTTTGCCATTGCCTGCAGTGTATAGCTACTTCCCTAGCATGTTTTTCTTGGAAACTGGAACAAAACTTTCCCCTCCATCATGCTCTCATCAGTGTTTTGTGCTCAGGGATTCCCCCAATTAGCTCAGCTGGGAAAATTGGCCTCACATGGAGGGCTCTGGTGACACTGGGGACAAACCGGGGGGGGTGTGCTTCCCAGAGCCCTGTGGATCACCCCAGCCCTCTGGATTGGATATCATTCCACAGCCACTCAGGGGACTCTTTCACAGGGCCCTGGCTTTTCAGGGAGTTCAGAGCTGGTTGATTTATTCAAAGAGAGTTTGGGGCCCCTTGTCATAGCATGGGGGTCTCTGTCTGATCTATGTTTTATGTGGGAAGTCACCGACTCTGTGCCAGAATAGAAGTCAGAGTTGAAGAAGAGGCAAAAATTGACAGAAGTATATGTGGAAGTAAAGTAGAAGAGAAGACCTCCACCCTTTCACTTGTAGTATCAACTCTTTCCCATAGCACAAGAAACACGACTAAACGGTAACACAGACATGTATAGTGAAAGACAAATAAGCACATGTAAGTTTGTGAATATCTGTTTGCATGTGTTGTAAACCTGCAGGGAGTGTTTTTAACCCTGCTGTGTTGGGGGCGAGAAGACAAGCGTTTTTGTTGGGCTCCACCTCAAGGGAGCCCACAGCTTCATCCTTCTAACAATAGCTGTTTATTTGCTTTGAGGAGTTTGTGTGTGTTTGTGTGTGTGTTAGTCATTAGGTTCAGCGTCGGTACTAAGAGTCTTTCTGCTTCCCGCTGGCATCGTCTTAACCCCTCCTCGCCGCAGACATTCCCGTAACCAACGGCAGCAGAGCCGGCTGCAGAGGCAGCCGTGTCTCTCTTTGTCTTCCTCATTCTCTTACTGTTTTAGTTAGGTAATGGGATTAAATATTGGCAGCGGATTTGTGGGGAACGCGTGTCATTCAGTGATGCTGGGTGTGTTTTCAGTTGACAGCAGCAAACCTTTGATAACGTCTCTGTCGATCCTGTCCGTTTTAGTTTGATCCATTTCCCCACTGGGTAACCCGCAACCTGAATGTTAATAGGTAACACATGAATGTCATCCACTCCAAGTCATAATCATGGTTAGTCCGTGCTCGGCCTCCTTACAGGGCCCCTCTATTTACATACACACAAATACACCCTTGTGTTCCCTAATGAGAGTGATGGTTCACCTTCCTACCTTCTCCTTTGCTCTGGCCTTTCACCCGCTCTACTTCTCTTTCAGGGCTCTGTAACAGCAAACACACCACCAACAACCTAGACACCATTGTCCTCTGTTTGCTTACCACATACCTCTCTTGCTGACTTGTCCTCTTTTCACTCCCTTTCTTCTTTTGCTTATACCATGGATTGAAACTGTTGCAAAGGAGTGGCTGATAGACCTGCAGGTTCCTCACTTCCACACTTGCAGCTGCATCAAATGCCCTCCAGCCGCTGTTGCAGCACTGACACGGAGCAGTTCTCCCTGTGTGAATGTCAACATTATATTGTGTTTTAACACACACGTTTTGGTGTGTTCCTTTGTTTGCATGACTAGCTCACCGCTGGGAGCCAGACTTGGCATTATGCCTTCATGGTGTAGAGGAAGAGAGACCTCATTGCTTTTTTTTCCCTTTGTGTGCTTGCGTTAGATTCATGCCAACTTTAAAAACTGAGATGTTCATAACACCGGAGAGTGCTAGGAGCTAGTCAGTCAATATCCTTTCTCGTGCTGTTACTAGGATAGATGAAGCATGGGATATTGTCTCCTTGTGGCTCCAGGCCTCTATGTGTTGGAGTGGGACATGTGCTTGACTCTAATATTAGAGAGGCAAAAGCATGTGGCAACCTCCCCTCAGTTACACAACAACATCATCATAACTTTAATGCAGGTTTTTTCAGTTCAGCTTTCATCTATGCTTCAATTTACATGGTGTATTATTGATGAAGGTCTACTGCATTTATAGCCATCAGAGAAGTGGTCTTCATTGTCTGCTGGATAGGAAATAGCCCTTAACTCAGAGTGTGTATCCTGCACCTTGTGCTTGTTGCCTGGGAAATGTTGCCATCTGTTGTTTTAATTCTAAAACAAAATACCAAATTATCATACACATGCACATGCTTGACAAGTCCTCCCCTAACCAGTGAAGATACACGATTTAGAAGCAACATGTTGCAACATGGTGAATTGGTTTAGGTGTGTGTCTGTGGCTATAGAAGTTATAGGCTTGGAGCTGGGAAAGGAGCTTCTTTTCTCCTGCTGGAGAATTTTTTTCTCTCCCCTTAACCCCTAATTTAGACAAGGCCATATACTCCATTCAGCAATGACTGGGTTTCTGTATGCATCATTGATCGCAGAGTTATTTCTCCTAATTTTTGCAAATGAGCAGAGTTTGTGTATTCGTTTGATGTTGGTGTTGTAGATTACAGCAAACCTTCTCTCTTTTTGTCTTTTCAGGTTGCCAAAGTGGAATACGTAAGAAGAAGACCCAAGCTTAAAGAGGTCTTTGTGCGGTTAGAAGACCACCTGGAGTGTGTCTGCACCTCACAGCATCACGTAGTAGAGCATCCGGATGCAGAACCAGGTAAATATGACGCTTAAGATTTGTTGAGCATCTTCCAAAAATTATTTTCTAGCAGAAAGCCTCGCTCAATTTGTGGCTGAATACCACCCTCATCGCTATGTTCCCACACACTGCTTCTTTTCTCGTGTATCTCGTGGTCTTTCTCCTTGCCTGGCTCCTTGTTTTGCACTGGATGGCCTTTTACCACCATTGTTGCTACATATATATGTACACCCTAGAGTTGGCCTGCTATTGTAAAACCGCTAAGCTTGTGTGTCTGTGCCTTGCTTATGCTTTAAACAAGAATGTGTGTGCAAACTTATGTGTTAAACAAGGGCGTTCAAAGGCTGCTTGGCATGACACCAGGTAAATCCACCAGAGCCTTGGTCTGAAGTCTTTGTCTGGCTGGGAGTAGATAAGCATTGTAATGTGTGCTGATAAGGCATCTGAAGAATTTATACTCAGTTATATCTTTGCACTCTCTGCTTCTGTCCCAAGGCTGTTGTGCCCCTCTGTGTATCATAAACCCTGCTTCTTGCTTTTGACCCCTCTTCCTATCCACCCCCCCTGACTCTGTGTTTTCAGGCCACCGTAGGGCTAAAGGTAAAAAAAGGAAACCTAAAACGCTAAGGCCCCGCAAGGACTTATTGGTGACATAGAAAATGTTGCTTTCATTACCCAAAATCCACTGGATGGCTTTTAAGGGAACAGGTAGGAGTCGAGCACTGAAGCCATCTCCCACCTTTTGGTGCTGCACTGGCTTGATCAGGGTGTAGAGAGAGCCTGCCAATCACTGTCACCAATCACAGCACAGCCAATCAGTTTGTGAAGACAAATGGCTAATGAGTATTATGCTCTACGCCCCATTGTTGCATGTTGAATTTGTGGCCTGCTGAGCATGCTCACTTTTTGAATTTGCTTTGTTTCAAATCTTTGTGCTTGTGTGCACTTTTTTGGTCTGTTTCACTTCTTTAAAGGCACCCTTCTCTCTTTGTTTGCTTTTGCCCTCCGTGATGTTTTCATCTTTCATCGCTTTTCTAAAATAAAACATAATATTCTTTGTTTCTTTGTCTCTGTATTTTGTGCACAAGAAAAAAAAAACACATTCACAGAAATGTATGTAGCTGCATAATTGTGCCCCCGGTCATGGTATTAAAAATCTAAAAGGACATGATTCAGATAACTCAAATCAGTCTGTGTGTGAGTTGTGTGAGTTTGTTTCAAAATGCTTGAATTAACTAACTAAATTGGGATTGAATTCAAAGTCAGCTTAGGTTTTTTTTTCATGGAGAAATGCTTGTTTTTGTTTACAAAGCAATCATACTAATCTGAGCTCTGTCTCTCTGTCCCACAGTGGATGTGAGGTGAGACCAGTCAGAACAAGGCATTTCAGCATGGGAGACGCCTAAAACAGAGGATGCTGCCAAAAGGACACCTGCTCTGTCCTCTCCCTCACTGCCATGCAACCTTTGTTTAAGAGAACTTCACTTTTCTGTCAAGTCAAGAGACTGAAAAAGACAGCAGATTAAAAAAAAAACATAAGTAACATGCCAAAGGTGCTGTAAAATCAATAACCAGTGACAATGACTGTCTCTGTGGTATGATACATACCCAAGCAACCGAACTGTGTCACTGACTGAGAAGAAAAAAGCAGATGCCATGGAGCTGGGGCAAAGCAGAAAGAGGCCATTGGGAGAGGATGAAAGGGATTGTTGCTGAACATTTTGACAGACTCTGTTCGAAAAAACACACAACAGAAACGACTTTTAAAGAGTTGGTACATGCTTTCATGGAAACCCAGCGCCCCGACTCAACAAGTCAACTGCCATGCCCCCTCTAAATCCATCTTTCATACAAAGGACAAAAGTAAGAAAGTTATCAAAATGATAATGCAAAGAAAAAAGTAAAAGACAATTGGAGAGTGTTTAAATTCCCAGACTCTCTATGGAGTATCAAACGCTTTGAGTTATAGGATGTTTGCTCTGATTAAAGAGTAAATCATCACAGAGACTCCTACATGTCAGTGACTTTGCCCATCTGCTATGTACAGGAAGATGCACCGCTACTTACAAGCTATTTATATGTGTGGACGTTTGCTTTTGTCTCTTTCAATACTAAGGAAAGGACAAAAAAGTATGTTCTTATGATTTTGCAGACATGCAAGTGTTCTGTGTGGTCTGGTTCTTTGTATTCATCAGTATCGCATTCTCAGTGTCATTTTTTTAAAAAGTTGTCTTTCTTGTCAACCATGTTTCGTATTATATTGCAGTATATCTGATTGATGTCAAGTCTTGCATATGGTTTGGATATATGTGTGCAAGGAGGTGATGTGAGAGTCAGTACAGGAAGATGCTTTATTTTTGTTATGAAATATATTATGCATACTTGTATCCATGCAGGAATCATGATTTTTTTTATTTTGTTGTCGTTAATTCCTGTTTTTAATCTATTAGGGAACAAATGCAAAACATGAGCAACTATAGGAACAGACAAAGAATAATTGCTGCATGCTTATGCCTGTTTACATGGGAGCTGTGACAAGGAAAGAGGAAAGAAAGAAGGAATCAGCTCGTGCAGGGAAACGCTATAGTTTGTGGTTAAATATTGTGGCTTCGGTACAGTCTTGATAAGCCTTTTTGGACAAGGTGACATTTCGAACAAACACTCATATATCAGTGACTACACTGCGAACACGTCACCACCCCACAACACGAGAGCAACTGCAGTTGCATTTATACCTAAATAACACATTTATATGGGCTGTTATGTCTTCATTATACAGGAAAAATAAACACTGCACTTCAAAAACTTTTTTAAATCCAAAACTTGCCTTTGCAAATCCAAATGTTTGTTTGCAAATTCAAAAGACTTGCAGTTTTGTTTTACAGCCAAAACATTTAGTCCCTGATATTAAACGTTTTTCTAGCCAATTGGATGGATTGCCACAGTAAAGGAAAACATCAGCAAGTTTTATTTCTGTAAAGCTAAATATTGTGGGGAAGTCTTGGGACAAACATCCCTGTATTGGCCAGTGTCGATCAGACTGAGGAAAATCTACATGAACCAGTTCAAACGTAAAATTCTCCCATAAAGCCAAGACGGAATTGACCAAAATATGTTGATTCTGCTCTGTTATCTCCATACAAACTCTGGCTGTTGCCAATCTCATATTGTTCGGGCTATACAAGAATCAACTCCAAATGAAGCAGAACGTCACAAATTTATTTAACTTGCAATGGAACACATTTTGAGTGCAGTGCATGGTTTTGGATCTGGAATTCTTTGATCTCACGAATCTCCCCTGTTTTCATTACCAAGCCATATCATACAGAAAAAAAAGACTTTGTTCGTGCTCATGAGCCTTCTCTCTTTTAGAGGAGGCTATTTTTCACCCATATCTCTTGCACTGATAAGGAAGATGCCTGCCCAGTCTACTTCACAAACATGTATGTTCTGCCTGCAAATAGCAAAGTCCACCTTGAAGATTGAATGAGTGAGCAAAGCAAATCGACAACTGCATGAATGGGCTCCTTGTTTAGTCAGGCGGGCTTTACTCCCCTGTTGACAGGAGAACAAATCACTCCACCCTGTGGAGGGACTCACGCTTTATGCAGCCACATACAATCAGCACAGATGATGATGAGAGCGCCGAGGTGGTCTGAAAACATTACAGTGATGACCTTAACCTCGCACCCCAGTGGAACAAACAACTACTTCCTTACCAGTTCCTTAAACAGTGATGAATGTGCAAGCAGGGGCGGCCCAGTGTGAAAACACCAGGCGGCTTCCACTCCGTGTTAAAATAAGGAAGTTTGACTGGGGTTATTGTTACAGACCAAGGAGAAAGAATGAGTCACTGTGCAATGTGAAGTGGTGAAACTGGTGAAAGTCAAGTGAGAAAAGTTGAATTGAAGCAAGAGTGCGTCAGAGTCTGTTTATTTGTGGGCATAACATCACATAGCCATCTGAAGAAACTTATATATCAGTTCTCAGTGAATCAGGGACAATGCTGAGAACCAGCTGAGTACAATACAACACAATGCCATTATCCTATCAGTTGGTTTTTATTAGTTCTTCAAGCTTCTTTGGGATAAAGACAGAAATAATCATAATTTATATATTTATGTTTTAACAATAAATGTATAACATTTCTCAGGATATTGAGTCCCATAAATTGTGCCTTGTGTCTCCACAATAAGATTTGAGGATGAATATCAATGACTGAGAGGTTGAACAAGTCCCCCCCCCACACACACAAAGCCCAGATAGCCAAAGGTTAAAGTAAAATGTTAATGTGAGACTGGAATTAAGTGAATGAGTAGCACAATAACACGGATCAAAAGCAAAGGCCAGTGAAAAAAAAAACCCCAACAGGTTCAGGGACTGCAACACAAAACAATCTGATCATGTACGAGCTTTGCTAAGTTTTGGTGTGTGCAAAACCTAACTGATGTAAGGACTTTCAGGACGTAAATGAGTGGATTTGACATGTGCTGGTGCTGCTCCTGCTGGTAAAACAGAAGCTGGATGTGAGGGTGGTGTTGTATGCAGGAAATGTGAGCTTTTTCAGGCTTGCAGGCAGAGCAGTACATGGGCTTTTTTCCAGGATCCAGCAGCAGCAGACCGTAGGTCCTGGGGGCTTTATTACTTCTCTTCCAGCAGCTAACCCTAATCCCAGGGCTAAGCGACATGAAAGTCCCTCTCCTATGCACTTCCCAGCCATACACCCAGCTTATTACCTCAGTAGGGAGCCAGATAAAGAAAGGCCAAACATGAAAGAGAGAAAGGATCACAGGGACAGCAATTTAGCTCGCCAGTAGAACATCGGATAAACTCAATAAAGTAAAGATAAAAGGAAAGACAGGGGCTTGATTGATTTTATTGTTTCTATATGACATCCACAACTTTACTCATAAAGATGTGTCGAGGGCTAAAGTGGGGATTTAGAAATGCGTGCGTATAGAAAGGAAAGCAATATGTCATAGTGGGGAAAAGAGGGAAGGGGGAATGGGAATACCCTGAGGAGTGAGAGTGGAACGGGATGGGGACAGGGGGAAAAATGAGGAAAAAAGGGAATGGAGTGAACTCAGGATGTGGGTAATCGGCACCACAGCAAGAAAGGCCAGACAGGTCAGCCCTTAAGTGGACGTACTTTTCTAAACAATGCTAGGGGGGCCTGAGGGGGCAGGTAAGGTGCGAAGAGGACTGCTGAATGGGCTTTATGTTTATGAGTGTGTGTGTGTGTGAAAGCAGGCTGATGTGTGTGACAGTGAGTGCAGATGAACAATGCAAAGAAGGTGTCCCGGTGTGAAACACGGACGGCTGGAATTTGGGGCTTTTTCAAAGAAAAACACGCAATTTTACTTCCCATAAAGCCTGAGGATCAGAGTTCAGGGTTCACAGGTCACTGCCGGGATGTTGCCAGTGGAGAAGTGTGAGCTGGAGTCGCAGCCTTTAATAATATCCTCCTTCCATATTTAGATTAATTTTACGTCTTCACGAATTAAATACATTTAATGGATTTGATCACTTAAACTCAGTTGACTCAGAGCAATAATTATTATTAGTTAAGCCAGTTATTTATTTAACAACCTTCTCAGAAAAAGCCTTGACTGTCCAGAATACAGTTTTTTTTTAAACATTATTCTTCCCTCCCCCTCTTCCGCTCCTCTTTTTCCCTCCATGTCACCCTGTTATGATTCTCCCCTCTCCCCCAACCTGTGGCCTCTGGGTTTTGAGGAAAGGCAGAGGTGGCCTTTGAAGATGGCGGCAGCCAAGTTTGTCCGGGGCCACAGCCATGAATGCATGTCTTTGTTGTACACCGTTCTCTCACGTCTTCATATCCTCCCCCAGTCTCACTCCTTATCCTCCCTCTGCCCCCCACAAACTCTTACTGACACACACATGGCCTCGCCGGGGCCCCCTTCGCACAAATGACCCTGCTAATTATGTATTTAAGGTATTTGGCTCTTGTGAAAACAGCTTTGGGTTAGCGGTAGAAGGAGGTGGGGGCGGTTTGAGAGAGGAAGGTGTGCGGGGCAGTGGTGTGGTAGATGGTCTCATGGCTATCATTACTGCCCCGTGTTGAATGTAAACACTGGATTAGGGCAGCATTGACTGATTCAGAAGAGGAACCGCGGAGGTGATGGTGATTGCTTGCACTTTTGAGTTCGGGTCTCTGGTTTCATCCATGACTGGCAGTCCCACAGAAACCTTTATCTTGTGCAACCGCATCTTACCTCACATAGCCCACAAAGGAACCTGCTAATCCGCTCTGGCTCCATGATGTTTTTAGACACATGTAATCTTTTCAGGGTCAGTCAGTGGCAAATCACACTGAACGAGGTACAGTTTGGAGAGAGTGTTGATGTTTAGTGTGGCATTATGAGCTGCTTTACCTGCATGGCGAGACATGAATAAATCGAGAACTCAAACAGTGGACAATACCTGTTTTAACTTTTGTTGCCTGCCTTGTTTTCTGCAGTCCCATCACTTGTCACTTTTTGAAGCCATAGCAATAGATGATAACATATACATCAGCAAAAGAGCTCTCTGAAACCAGATCCTGTCACTTTGGTTCCCCAAGAGGGGATGGGGGATAACTGATTTTTCTGATAAACTGGAGATGGACAATAGCCCACCGGGTCCCTCAGAGGGAAGTTACTGACACTGGACCCTTCTTACATTGTACCCAGTTTTGAATCCGGCAAAAGACGACAGCTCAATGACAGATCTCCCTTTTTTTAATTAGGGACAAACCGAGAAAAACAGCCTTAATCCATTCAGCACACATTGTTTACTGGTCAATGATAGAATACATTTCTTCTTCTTCATCATATCTATCTGTATTTTTCATCACATTCCATGAGGATTTCCAGGTCGAAAGAATGCTTGGATATTCTCTCCAACTGAACCATGAGCACACTACTGAGCCTGGCATGGCCTGTGTTGGAACTTAATAAACGGAGAAGTAGGGAGTGAACGAAGGCGTGGCACAGGAACTACTGAGAGTGCAGAGGTCTCTGGAGAGTGATAAGTCAGTTTCCAATAGGGGAGGAAGCTGTATTTGTGCTGTAATTGCAAAGGGAGAAAAGCATCTACTGTATGGGTGTTTTGGAGGGAGGTCGAGAGTGTGAGCATGTATGTTTTCCGATGGGAGCACAGCAAGAGAAGCCAGTTTTCCTTTGCACATCAAATAAATCAAGGCTACGATTAGAAAGAAGGAATGATATTTGGTTTGTGGAAAGAGAAGAAGAAATCTTGGAATGTGTCATTGCTTTTGAGGAATGAGAGCTCCTTTGTGTGTATGAGTGTGAGTGCACTTTCATACAAGTGTGTGCAGTTACATGTGTGAGGTCGGGAGTAGCCAGGAAGCCGACATTCTTTGGCCAACAGTATTATTAACTGTGGTGTAATCATTATCAGTTTTTACTTTGATCTAGTCACCACCAGAGGAGTAATGGAGTCTGGTGAGTTAAACCCCTTCTCAACAATGCATGTTTTTATCGGAATGGTGATGTTCTTGATGTGTTTGACTTGATCATTTTCATCACATAGCAAATTGGTCAGCAGGGGGGCACATTTTCAAGTATATGTACACACAAAATGCGAGATTTCCCTTATCTTCAAAGGAAAATCTTGTCAGTAGGCTTGTTAGATACACACACTCAAAGAGTTGTGTTGACGGAAAGGAGAATAAATGTCATGAGCGACATTAATCTCGGAGTGTGTGTTCATGCAGTTCACATTCAACTTGTGGGAAAGACAGAGGTTGCGGTGGCCCTCCCACCTGTCCGCTGAGGGTATGATGAGAGCATCACCACAGACCTCACACTGTTCACTGCAGCTGACAGGTGGCCGGTGCACCTGGAGCTAAAGTGTGGATGAACACATACATATCTGCCTGAAAAAAAGGGATAATAATGCACCTCTGTGGCACCTTTTGTTAAACTGATGATGCAGACATTTTCTTGGCAGATATTTTGACTTTCAATGCAGATGAGGCTTGATTAAAGCTCTTTCCTCCTTTAATGTGAGAGTAAGCCAAATCAGAGAGCCATATTTTTAGCCAGCTGAAATATTAAAGTTTAGTACTCACTTGGTTTTTTGCCTTTTAATCATCACAACCTCCCGTCTTCCAAAGTATATGTCTCATTAACTGCTGAAGATCCGCGCTATTCAGCAGCTCATTTCTGACGTTGTCTGTTGGTTTGTTTTTTTAAAAACTCTTTCTTCTCTCTAAAGCAGCAACAAAGAACAAAGTACTGCTGGCTGGTTGCAATTTTAAAGCAATGAGATGTGGTTACGCAAAACTGCAGAGTAACCATTAGTGATGTCACAAGTTACGATTACTGCAGCAACCATATCCCACAAAGACCTGCAAATGTTATGTTACAGGAGGACAAAAAAGATTTAAATGACTTATGGATGACAGATTACATTTAACCAAAATGATGTGAACACATTTTGATACTTGTAATATATAAAGTAAAAAAATATTATAAACATTTGCATGCATAAAAGTTAATTGCAATTAATTGTTTCAGATGTTCGGTTTCAATTGGAAATGAAGGGTAACACACTATTTATTCACCCATTCTTTAAAGGTTTGAGGTATATCTTTTGTTCTCTTGCAAGCCAATTCAGACTCTCTTGTAATGGAGCCATACCATTGTAAAAACAACAGAGTGAGGCATTTTCATGGTTTAGGAGACTTAAACAGTACCGGATGGCAGCAGTTATTGCTTAGGAGTATGTCTTCATCTATGTGCCAGTCAACCAAAGCATTGGTCCCAGTACACATTTGTACTCAGTGGAAGCAGAAGACAAGAAGAGGAGAAATTAATTTGGATCCATCTGAACATTTGTTGGTTCACACCAGTAAACTGGAGAAAGCAGGTGTAGAAAACGGATGTATGGGTGAATGAACCTCTCTGATAACATCTTTTTAATTGAAAAGCATCCTAGAGCATTCAGTTAAAAAACGCTCGTAATTCTGTGAAGTTATCTTCTGAAGAACCCCCCCCACACACACACACACGATCATCTTTGATGCTGAATGAGGGAGACTGAAAGAGTGAGTGGAAGTTATCTTGACAGAGTGGCACT